CTCTTCCTCTTCCTTGGCTGAGACAGCAGCAGGAGCCCATTGGCTCCTGCTGCTGTCAATCACAGCCAATGAGCCAATGAAGAGACAGTGGGTGGCAGGGCTGAGCTGTTACTCTGTGTGTCTTATGGACTCAAAGACCAGCGGCTTGGAGATGAGCATGCAGTAGTGCCCCCCGGGTGAGCAGCTTTCCATGGGGGCCCTGCTCAAGGAGGAGGATCCAGGAGTGCTGGCTGAGACCCAAAAAGAAGAGGATCAGGGCTGCTCTGTGCAAAACTACTGTACAGAGCATGTAAGTATAGACATGTTTGTTATTTTAAAAAAGAAACAAAGCTTTAGTGTCACTTTAACCCCTAGATGCCGAGCACACACAAATATGTGGCCTCTCAGCGTCCGGGCCGCATATTTACGTGCCATTAGAAAATACATATGTCCTGAGAGAACGCGCTCCCAGCACATATGTCCGTTACTCACGGAAAGGTTACGATCGGACCTTTTCCGATCATGTGACAGCCATCACAGCGAATCACGGCTGTCACATGACCCTAAAACCCCGCCCGCCTCCTGGCTTCTGAAACTCTTAAAGGGCCGGGAGGTGCTGGCACAAAGGGGTTAATGTCTGCAGACCCCTTACATTTTGAAATGTTGGATAGTGCAAAGCTGTCCATACACCAATCAATATTCAGGTGGTTCAGCAGGGATTGGTGTGTGCCTGTGCCTGCTCAACAGAAATTGATTTGATTCATTTGATTGATTGGGACAATAAATCTGTTTTTTTTTTTTCATTCTGCCTGCTGGCTGAACAAAAAAGAAAAATCTAACCATGTATGAGGAAGGGTTAGAAGCATTGTCAGTTTTATTATTTGTTATTTTTGACATCTGTGCCACGTTGGTTTTCCCCAAAGTGATGGACTCCCTGGTTATCTCCAGGGTACCAGAACTAGCGTTCCCATTGGAGATCCCCCCTATATTCCTGTTCTTGTGACAACCCACAACTTGGGATTTTCTTTCAAACAGCAATACAAACCTGACAGGTGTTCTAATCCCTCTCCACTCTATCCAGAACTAAAAAAAAGTTTTTGCCTTCAGTCATATTTTAATGTCCCTCTATGGTAATTTTTTTTAAAAATCCCTTCTACTTTGCCCCTGTAACATCATCATAGGGATTCTTGAAGTCCTCCGCACACGTGTTGTGTGGGTGACAAAAGGTTAAAGTATCTTACAGAAGTGCAGGAATGAAAGAAGGCATTGCTGGCCCTTCCTTATGTTTGCAATCAGCTGCAGAAAAATACCACATGAGCTGCAATAGGTTGTTGTGGGCTAAACCTCTGATCTTTTCAGCTGCCATTTTATTGCATAGTTACCTGCAGGATCACTGTGGAAGTAGAGAATCACTGTAGTAATCGCTTCTACTACAGTGGTTGCTGTTGTCTTCCGAATCCTGTACCGAGTGGCTAACCTGCAGCATAGTAACCACAGGGAAATTGCTCACTCAGCAGTGCCGCCATTCATAAAAAGTCTTCTCAACAAATGCAAAGTGTTCTCTGATTGGACGAATTGGAGATTATGACCACCCCACCTCTTCACCTAATCCAATAAAAAAAAAAAAATACAAATACAAACCGCTCTGTGAATAGCGCCAGAGTGATTTTCCACTTCCACAATGGTCCTTCAGGTTTGGAATATGCATACTTGCATTGATCCAACTGAAATCCATACCTGGAATTCAGCTTTAACAAAAAAATGCGTTTATGTAATAGGCCAAGTAGTTTGTGGCCTTTTGCATCTTTATAAAACCAGATGTAAGGAAGGGTAGGTAGAAATAAAAAAATTCTACGCTTTGCCCCAAAGTCCTCAATGGCCACCAAAGTCCAAGAGAACAACTATAAACTCACAAGATGGTATCGGGTGCCCACCCACCTTCATCATATCTCGCCACGGTATTCCGGTGCCTTATGGTGCTGTGGGGATAATGGTGGCACCCTCTTCCATATTTTTTGGCAATGCCTGAAGCTCCAATCGTTCTGACGAGGAGTGACTGGTATATTTCAAACAACTTACCACTGTGGACCTGTATGACAACCCAGTGGCTTGCCTTCTGCATTCATTGGGGAGACCTATCAAGAATACAAGGCCTCGCTCACTATCCAGTTGCTTAACCACTTGCCTACCAGGCACTTATACCCCTTCCTTACCAGGCCAATTTTCAGCTTTCAGCGCTGCCGCACTTTGATTGACAATTGCGCGGTCATGCAGCATTGTACCCATATGAAATTTTGATCATTTTTTTTCTCACAAATAGAGCTTTCTTTTGGTGGTATTTAATCGCCACTGGGCGCTTTACTTTTTGCGCTATAAATTAAAAAAAGTGCAAAAAATTTGAAAAAAAAAAAAAAGTTTATTTGTTTCTTTTATAAAATTTTTCAAACAGGTATTTTTTCTCCTTCACTGATTTGCGTTGATGAGGCGGCACTGATGGGCACTGATAGGCGGCACTGATGGGCACTGATAGGCAGCACTAAAGGGCACTGATAGGCAGTACTAAGTGGCACGGATAGGCGGCACTGATAGACAGCACTAATTAGGGGTCACGGATAGGCGGCAACTGATATGCAGCACTGATAGGCGGCACTGATAGGTGACACTGATGATGGGTACTGATAGACGGCACTGACTGGCATCACTTCTGGGCACTGACTGGCGGGCACTGACTGGCACAACCCCTGGGCACTGACTGGTGGCACTGACTGGCAGCACTGCTGGGCTGCACTGGTGGGTGGCACTGGTGGGCAGCACTGGTGGGTGGGCACAGGTGGGTGGCACTGGTGGGCACAGGTGGGTGGCACTGGTGGGCACAGGTGGGTGGGCACAGGTGGGTGGCACTGCTGGGCACATGTAGGTGGCACTTCTGGGCACAGGTAGGTGGCACTGCAGAGTGGCACAGGTGGGTGCACTGCTGGGCACAGGTGGGGGCACTGCTGGGCACAGGTGGGGGCACTGCTGGGAACGGGTGGGCGGGGCTAGTGGGCGCACTGCTGGCGTGGGCGGAACTTGCGGGTGTCACTGCTGGGCACCGATCATCAGGGCACTGATCATCAGTGCCCTGATGATCGGTGCCGATCCCCGCTCTGACAACTGCCGGTTCTCGGCAGTACTTTCCTCACGATCTGACAGCGTGAGGAAAGTGCAGCCGAGAACCGGCACTTGCATTTCCCTGTGATCAGCGTGTCATTGGACACCGCTGATCACGTGGGTAAAAGGCCGGTGGGATCGGCCTTTCACCACATCACGTGATCAGCTGTGTCCGTAGGACACAGCGATCACGGAGATCGCCGGGTGCGCGCCCCCTGGGGCGCGCAGGAGAGCGCGTTCTGGGAGGACGTCATATGACGTCCACTCAGAACTGGCCGGCCGCGGTGAAGCCGTCATTCGGCTATGCGCGGTCGGCAAGAAGTTAATGAGGCTAAGGCCTGCATCCCACTTCAGTGGAAGGATACGCACCCTCTCACACTCTCTCTCTCTGGTTCTCCAAGGTTAATGAGCTTAGGAACCTGGAGAACCTCACAGCCACTTTGCTCAATAAAGAAGAGACCTTCCTTGACACTTGGCACCCCTGGCAATACTTGCATATCTGACTGAACTTCCTCCCCACCAGTGAGGTTCTTTTTGATCAGCTCTGTATATACTCCCCAGGAGAGGATGCATCTGCACTCTAGCTTGCCTACTCCCTCTCCTCTGTTCTCTCTATGGCCTCCCCCCTCCCTATGCTGCTTCAACTTGCATTTCCCTCCAATTTCTCTCCATGCCCCCTGGCTACCACAGTGCCTCTCTGCAGGTTCTACTCCTAATTTCCCCTCCTCTCCCCTTTTTATTGCTACCAAGTTTTGTTTTATGTATGGAGGGGTCAGCAACCTCCCCCATGCTGTTTTATAATCTTTCAGTTACTCAGTTTGCCATAACCCTTTCAAAAACATCATAATATGACTTGTTCATGTTTTTGCTTTATGATCTGCTTAACTTGACACATTATGTTCCATTTTTTTTTCTTTGTCCCTTGAACCTTTCTCCTGGCTATGCCAACTCATCACTTTTTTGTGTACATTGTGACGTTTTGACATTTTGTGCTGTTATTCTGTAAACTTAAACTGGAATTCTGTTCACCTTGTAATGTACAAATAAAAAAAATGAACAAATAAAAAAATTACAAAAAAATGGGTGTTTTAGTAAAACATTACACTGCAATACTGGCCCCAGTGAAAAATAACATTTTGGGCCCATCGTTTGGGTACCTTAAGACCCTGTGTGTACTTTTTTTAGGTTATAAAAAAATGATTTTTTCATATCTGTTCTTTGCAGATATATTAACTTTTTCTCGATAGCTGAAAAATAACATATTTGTAAGATTACTTGCTTTGATTAAATGCTTTGTCAGTGGATCTCTCATTGTCTGGATGGATGAACACAATGATAGAAGGTGATGATAAACGAGGCAAGTCCTATTAAAGCTCTCAGATGTGTTAATGCATTGATAATACAGTTGCTAGAAAAAGTATGTGTAGTATTATGTTCAGCAGACTGTGTTCTTCTATTTGTTGTGACTTAGATGACGTTCAGAGCACATTTTATGCCCAATTCATGCAAAACTCCACGTAATCCCAAGGGGTTCACATACTTTTTCTTGCAACTGTAGATCATCCCAAAATGCATAGAAAACACAAAACTCTCATTTGCAGAGGCACCCTTGCTATGAATTCACATTTATTTGTATTTCTAAAAGTTAGTAATTATAATTAAAAATAATACAATACAAACCACGTATTCTAAGCAAACATTTAAATCTTCTTCTCTCTCTTGGCAGGGCTGGTGTGTTTTTCCTCTCAAGTTCCGAAGGAGATCAGATCAGTTTCCTGTTTGATTGTATTGTCCGAGGCATCTCTCCAACCAAAGGACCGTTTGGACTTCGTCCAGTACTTCCAGGTTAATATAAAGGAGGCAGAGGAACTATGCAAGCATCAAGTTAATGAGGACCACTGTACTAACATAGAAATACATGAAAAATCTATCTATCTATCTATCTATCTATCTATCTATGCACAAATCAGCCGCATGTCCTAATTTGACATGCATTGTGGTGCACTGCCCCGAACACAGACAGTGTGCATTCAAGGCCACTCACCGAAACGTGCACACCTGTCAAATCTGGACCTGCAGCTGTGTGTGTGTACAGCTGCTGCATAGTTGCCAACATTTAAAAAAATTTTTAGGTATACTTTTTTTTCAGTATGGTCCAGAAAGCCAGCGTAGGAGGAGAAGCATGCTAATTAGGGGTGGGGGCATTAATTTGTGGGTGGTGGCCAATGCTGTAAAGATGAGTGGTGTAGTTTAAATTATGCGAAATATTGATGTGGCGTAAAGGGGGTGGGGCTAAATAGTCTGAGATTTTCTTGTGCTCCCCCATGCAATTGTGCTCTCCACCCCAACATCCCAAAAAATAGATAAACACGCACACTTATCTAAAAAAAACTTTTATTAATGTAAACATTAAGAACTGGTCCACACTCACTGATTGGTTGATAGAGGTTACTACTGCAGTTAATACAGAGGAGGGTCAGAGACTGCAGGGGTAGTACAGGAGAGGTCAGAGACTGCAGGCGTAGTACAGGAGAGGGTCAGAGACTGCAGGCATAGTAACAGGACTGGGTTAGAGACTGCAGGCGTAGTACAGGAGAGGGTCGGAGACTGCAGGAGTAGTACAGGAGAGGGATCAGAGACTGCAGGCATAGTACAGGAGAGGGTCAGAGACTGCAGGCGTAGTACAGGAGAGGATCAGAGACTACAGGAGTAGTACAGGAGAGGGTCGGACACTGCAGGCATAGTACAGGAGAGGATCAGAGACTGCAGGCGTAGTTCAGAAGAGGGTCGGAGACTGCAGGAGTAGTACAGGAGAGGGTCGGACACTGCACGCATAGTACAGGATTTGGTCAGAGACTGCAGGCACATAGTACAGGAGTTTGGTAGAGAGACTGCAGCTGGTGTGGGTTGTCTCAATTGGCTCAGAGAGTGAGGTTTTTTTGGGGGGGGGGAGCAGTGGGGTTGAGGGTAGCTTACCCACCAAAACCCCACACAAAAAAACGCTCCTCTCAGGCCAGGATTACAGTACCCTCTCAAATCCCCCCCCCCAAAAACAGAGACTCACTCCTCCATCAGGGCCATATAAGACAACCCCCACCCGCTGCTCCCCTCCCCCCCCCCCAAAGAAACAAAAATTCACCCCTCTCAGACCATGATTATTGTAAGGGAGGATTTTGTTTGGTATGGGGGGAGCTACAGGTGGGGGATATCTCATTTGGCTGTGGGAGAGTCTTATTTTGTTTTTTTGGGGGTGAGTCCTCCATCGTGTCCCTGCAGTTGAGTCTGCACCTCTCCTGTCCCTGAGTCCTCTCTGCTTGGTGGTCCTGGGTGTGTATCCTGGGCCTGGCCCTGGTGCAGCCTCTTCTACCTTGCAGGTGCTTCTCTGAAACTGAGGGGGCTAAGGCAGGCTGGCACAGTCACCCCTTGGCTGGCCACTCCCCCTCACAGTAACAACCAATCAGGATGGGAGAAGGGGCCACATGACTTCCTGTCTCACTGATCGGCAGTCCCAGGCAGGGGGAGGACAGAGAGGGAGGGCAGAGGATCGCATGGATGGAGGGGGACAATAGACTATAGTTAACACACTGGCCATCCAGCACACACTGCCTGGAGCCTTCAGAGATCAGCTCAGCTGTCCGTGACAAAGTAGACCTTTTCTGTGACAAAACTCAATTTTCGTGAGTCAGCCCAGGACAAGGACTGTCCGTGAAAATGTCAAAATCCGTGAGCATCCCGGGCATTTCGGGAGTGTTGGCAACTATGCTGCTGCATCTCCATAGAGTAAAGCCTGGTACACTTAGTCTGAGGTCTATGTGTGCAGCTGTCTGTATTTACTGGAACTGATCCATCACATGATCGGGAAAGGTCCCAATCGAAAGAAGAGATTGGGACCTTTCCTTGAGTACCAGACACGTGTGCTGGGAGCGCGCAGGGCGTGCGCTCTCAGCACATATGTTCTTTTTTAATAGAACGCAAATGTGCGGCCGCTTCACGCCTAGGCCCAGATCCCGGGAGGCCGCACATTTGCATTCGGCAGGCGTGAAGAGGTTAATCAGTACAGTATTCGTCTGAAAAAAATTGGAAAAGGAAGACCATACATGCTCAGAAACAAAAGAATATATTACAGTACAATCCAACATATTACTTCTGAAGTTGTATACAAGAATTTTCATCTTCATTTTCAGTATCAGACTAGCATTAAAAAAAAAAAAAAGATAATCATTAATTTGATATTCTCATCGTGTGTACCAGGCTTGTTCGTAAAATGTCCAATGATCTACATTGATGCAGGTTCAACACAAGGGCACATAGCAAACAGTTGTTGTTTGCATTTTTACACAGTATAACATGGCACCCCATCTTGAATACAGTTGAATGAATGTCATTTTGTCACATTTCAATAAAGTAAAAAAAAAAAGTAAACAGTGCAACTTTGTAACAATGCATGGATGATCACACTGCCCTTCACACCACAAAGCATCACGCATGCAATTTACGATGCATATCGCTTGCAGACCAAGGTGAATGAGTCCTATCACATCTGACATTGATTGCAAATTATGAGTTACTGGCCGATGAATGGCATCCCCGTGTTTTGCAGTGCTATATATTGTTTACATTTTTATTGTACTGCCTACAACATTACTGCCTGGTAGGTTCTAGATGTCATGCTGTGTAAGGATTGCACAATGACATTTCTGTGGGATGACACAATGTAATGAGGCTCTATATAGGTTCTTACTCTGCACATGATAGGACTAAAAGGGAAGTATGTACTCTATGTGCTAATGCTTTATGCCCCAGAATGCACTGCAAAGCCAATTATAAACATGCATACTGACGGCTCAGTATCCTAAAGGGTTTAAGGTTGCAGAGGAGGAGAAGGCTGGGGGATGGACAAAGTAAACCTACGAAGAATGGAAAATTCTAGAAGAATTACCACCTACTATTAATAGAATGGCATGCAGAAGCTTATCTTAATTGCATTAACTCTGTTTCTTGGTTAGAGCACCATTAATGGGTCTTCTTGTATTACAGTAAGGTGGAATTTAAATTAAATTAGCTGCTGCTTTCACACTGGTTCCATGCAAAATTGCAATAAAAACGCATATGCATTTTCTGGCTTGCCTGCACCTGTGAAAAATGTTCATATGACTCAAGAAATGAGTCAAAAATGCAAACGTGGTGTTTTTTATGCATTTTTACAGCATTTTCCATTCATCTCATGGGGGAGCTGCATTTTTGGTGAGGTCTTGAAAACTGCACCAATCTAGACTTTTCAAACTGCACCATACCCTCAGTTATAGGTTGTGAATAGTCCCATTTTTTATTTTTTGCCAGTTTTGGAAACAAAAGGATCCATTTCTTAATGGGATAACAATGAAATTTGTCAATTGGCTTAGTTTTTTGCAGTTTTCTACTTATAGCATGCACAATTATAAAACTCCACCAGTGTGAAAGCAGCGCATTCACACTGAATCATTTTAATACTTAGGATTCTCACTAGTTTTGTCTTTTTGTGTCGGTTTTGCTTCTCTTGGCTTTTTTTGTTCGAGGAAAGGGTGACGTGACTACACCTTCAGGTTCTTCCTCACACTCAACCACGAGAATAGGAAAGCTGGCCATACGATAAATGTTCACTAAGTAAAATCCAGAAAGAAATCATTTGTTAGCTCCAGTGCCGCATTCGCAAAGACTCAAAATACAAATGTCCTGTTATGAAAACACCGCATTACTGAGTAGCCTATATACATTTTGTCCAGTTGACATGCATGTGATTTTAGTACCTGTTGAACATTGTTATTTATTATTTTGGTGAGTGATCTCCCACCACCCCATGAGAATAAAGCTGGCCATACGAATGTTCATTTGTTAGAGCATTCGAAAGACTCAATATAAATGTCTATGAAAACCGAATACATTTTGTATGCATGTGATTTGAGTTCTACAGTGCCTTGAAAAAGTATTGAAAGCCCTTGAAATTTTGCCACATTTTGTCATGTTACAACCAAAAACTTAAATGTATTTTTGGGGGATTTTATGTGATAGACCAACACATACTGTGAGTGGCTTATAACTGTGAAGTGGAAGGAAAATGATAAATGGTTTTCAAAAATTTTTTTTACAAATAAATATCTGAAAAGTGTGGCATGCATTTGTATTTATTTGTATTTTGCCCCCCTTACTCTGATACCCCTAACTAAAATCTTATTGAACCAATTGCCTTCAGAAGTCACCTAATTAGTAATTAGACCCACCTGTGTGTAATTTGAACTCAGTGTTAATACAGCTGTTCTGTGAAGCCCTCAGAGGTTTGTTAGAGAACATTAGTGAACAAACAGCATCAGGAAGGCCAGGAAACACACCAGATAGCTCAGGGATAAAGTTGTGGAGAAGTTTAAAGCAGGGTTAGGTTATAAAAAAAATATTCCAAGCTTTGAACATCTCATGGAGCACTGTTCAATCCATCATACGAAAATGGAAAGAGTATGGCACAACTACAAACCTACCAATACATGGCCGTCCACCTCAATTGACAGGCCAGGCAAGGAGAGCATTAATCAGAGAAGCAGCCAAGATGCCCATGGTAACTCTGGAGGAGCTGCAGAGATTCACAGCTCAGGTGGGAGAATCTGTCCACAGGACAACTATTAGTCGTGCACTCCACAAATCTGGCCTTTATGGAAGAATGGCAAGAAGAAAGCCATTGTTAAAAGACAACCATAAGAAGTCTTGTTTGCAATTTACAAGAAGCCATGTGGGGGACATAGCAAACATGTGGAAGAAGGTGCCCTGGTCAGATGAGATCAAAATGTTACTTTTTGGCCTAAAAGCAAAACACTATGTGTGGTGGAAAACGAACACTGCACATCACCCTGAACACACTATCCCCACCGTGAAACATGGTGGTGGCAACATCATGTTGTGGGGATGCTTTTCTTCAGCAGGTACAGGGAAGCTGGTCAGAGTTGATGGGAAGACGGATGGAGTCAAATACAGGGCAATTTTAGAAGAAAGCTTGTTAGGGTCTGCAAAAGACTTGAGACTGGGGCGGAGGTCCACCTTCCAGCAGGACAATAACCTGAAATATACAGCCAGAGCTACAATGGAATGATTGCATCATAGCATATTCATGTGTTAGAATGGCCCAGTCACAGTCCAGACCTAATGTAAATCCAATTGAGAATCTGTGGCAAGACTTACAAATTGCTGTTCACAGACGCTCTCCATCCAATCTGACAGAGCTTGAGCTATTTTGCAAAGAAGAATGGGCAAAAATTTCACTCTCTAGATGTGCAAAGCTTGTAGAGACATCTCCGAAAAGACTTGCAGCTGTAATTGCAGGAAAAGGTGGTTCTACAAAGTATTGACTCGGGGGCTGAATGCCAAGCCACACTTTTCAGATATTTATTTTAAAAAATGTTGAAAACCATTTATCATTTTCCTTCCACTTCACAATTATGTGCCACTTTGTGTTGGTCTATCACATAAAATCCCAATAAAATACATTTACGCTTTTGGTTGTAACATGACAAAATGTGGAAAATTTCAAGGGGTATGAATACTTTTTCAAGGCACTGCATATTCGATTCAGAGATGCACAAGCTCAATATAATAAGTAAAATTTTTCTTAAACTAAACCACATTTATGGTTAATGCTTTGAAAAAAAATTTCTTCCTTCATCCAATGTTCCTCATCACTACAGCTGAAAACCATCATTGATTTGACCCCATTAATTAGAAAATCGAACGAACACTTAGAGAACACATTTTTTCGAACAAAATTCTGTTGGTGTATGACCACCTTTGAACAATTACTGGCCTGAGATATTTCTATATTCCAATGAAGAAGCTGATGGAGGATACATCAAATATAAATGTTGTATCATCTGCCCTCTAGTGGCTGCTCCATAGGAATACATTTGGAACTCAAGCTGATGACACATGTAGCTTAGCTGAATTCATGGTCTGTCATGGCAATCCAGGAGGTGAGGGTCAAATAAACCCTCCCCTATCGCACTCCAAAGGGAAAAATCTACTTTTTGTGATGTTATATAAGTGATTTTATTTTACTTTTTTTTTTGTTGTTGTGATTTTTGAAGTATAATCTAATAATGTATTAACAATAAAGGCTGTTATTTGTTATATAAGTTCACAAATCTTAAGTTGCCAACTGATGTCATGTTTGTTTGCTTTAAGATCCAAATTTAAACCCCGCTTACATGGAGGACAGAGTGGCCCATGAGACTCTGCAGTTGGAGAAACGGCTTAGCATGCTGTCTCATCATAGCCTAGGCGGTAAGAATTAGAATTATTAATATATATATATATAATAAACATATATTAATATATTAAAGGACACCTGTCACAATAGAACTGCAGGAACTGCCATTTCTGAAGGTTCTAGTTTCAAGCTTGTCATTCATGTGTCATTCACTAATGGGAGAGTCAATGAAAACAGTGACCACACTAAACAAGTATGTGCATAAAGAGTTGCTTAACACTTTACTAGCTGTATGCTTGTTCCAGGTCAATGTCTCACCTAGTAGAGAAGCAAGGATAATGTTGACATCTTGAACCCTCTAGAACAATAAAACAATGGTAGCTCTCATACTTATGTCCGCAAAAGTTCCCTTTGATCCTTAAAAGATTTCTTGGGTTTGAGTTTGTAGTGGTGTAGCCATACGGACATGTTTTGGTGAAAAATTCTCATAATGTTGTCTATGAAGGTTCTCCCTTATGCAGGTCATGGTATATCTAGTAGTATTTAGTCACCTTCAACTGGACTTCTGAAATGTTGAAGGCATATTGTAGTTTACCCAGCCAAGTGGCTAACTGCAAGTAGCTATCTCATGTTGTCAAAGTGATTGTAAACCCTTACATATTCCCAGGGAAGTGAATAGCCTCATGTGATACGGGGAGGTGAAAAAATCATCCTACATAAGTTGTATCTTTTATTGGAAACTTTCTCTTCTGTATAGCCTCCTAAAGCATACATTTTACACTTCATTCCTGAGCTGTAGAAGGCAGGGGGCAGGAATCTGATGTCACACAATGCAGAGCACAGAGCAGGGAGCTGGGTGTAATCTGAGACCTGAGTGGAGGGAAAGGACACCCCTCCCTCAACAAAGTCTCATAGGCAAACATGCACAGCCTCAGCTCAGCGTCAATCACCTTCTATGTACTGGGGAAGGAGTCGTCCCATGGGATTCTGTGGTGTCGAGATACACTGTCAGAAGTGAATTAAACACTGCCCTAATCTGAAGTATGACTGAGTACACCACCCAGCCCTGTCCTGCTGCAGCAGCTGCCAGACTCTCACACAGCAGGTCTAGATGGTGCCCTGTGCCTTCCAGCTATGGCCAAATGCCAGAGCCTCATGCATGGGGGCTAAACCCCCAATGTGCATGAGGCCTTAAAGCCTCAATTAACCTCAAGCAAAAATATTATTTGTAAAGATGAATTTTCGGCATGGTATATTTTCACATGGTTATATTGATCCAGCTTAGACCAATGTAGCTTCATATATACCATACCTAGCCAATGCCCCTGGAAGCTGGAAGTCATTAGAATAGACACCGCTACTCCAGTGATCTCCAGTTGATTGTGGATCCTTTGCTGAGTGGCCGGCCGGATACATTCTGGACACTGCTTACATTTTCTAAAGGGACGAGGTGGAGAGCATGACAACATTATTATTATTATTATTATACAGTATTTATTTAGCGCCAGAAAGGTTTGCTCAGCGCTGTACATTATAGTGGGGGACAGTACATGAGACAATACAGTAACAAAACAAAACACGAGGGGTTTGAGGGCCCTACTCTTTCGAGCTTACAATCTAGGAGGGAGGGGAAAGTGGTACAGGAGGAAGTGGCTGTGGGGGATGGAGTGGTAGGAGGAGTGTAGTGTGTAGATCGGCTGTTAGGTCAGGGTGGGGTAGGCTTCCCTGAAGAGATGGGTTTTCAGGGTGCGCCTAAAGGTGAGGAGGGTAGGTGACAGTCTGATGGATTGGGGTAGTGATTGGGGAAGTCCTGGAGAAGTCCTGCAGTCGGACGTGGGAGGTGGAGACCAGGGAGCTAGAAAGTAGGAGGTCTTGTGAGGAGCAAAGATTAAGGGTAGGGTGGTATTTGGGTATCAGGTCGGTGAGGTAGTTTGGGGCAGTGTTATGAATGGCTTTGTATGTCTGTGTTAGTAGTTTGAATTTAATGCGTTGGGCAATCGGAAGCCAGTGGAGGGAATGACAGAGGGGGGTGGTAGAAGCGCAGTGGTTGGTGAGGTGGATGAGTCTGGCCGCTGAGTTCAGGATCGACTGAAGCGGGGATAATCTGTGATTAGGTAGGCCGGTGAGGAGGGAGTTGCAGTAGTTGAGTCGTGAGATAATAAGGGAGTGAACGTGTTGTTTAGTAGTGTCTGGGGCTAGGAACGTACGTATTTTTGAGATGTTCCCCTCTCCACCTTGTTCTATCAAAGAATGCTTTGCCTTCATTCAGAAAATGCAAAGCATTCTCTGAATGGCACCCATTCTGAGTGGCCGACATCCTGTGTTCTGAATGCAACTGGCTGGCACAGGACACGGAAACAAGTGGGGATCACTGGAGTAGTGGTCCCCAGCTTCCAGGGGCATCAGCCAGGTATGGTATGGTACAAGCTGAACCAATGTACAGTAACTATGTAAAAATATAACATACATTGGTATTTAACTGTGAAAGGGTTAACACTTCTCTTTTTTGTTATTACTGTCTGTATTCCCATGATGGAGATTTCCTCTCATTTCTTGTCCAGGGGTCATACAGAGCAGGAAGAGAGGAGAAACTCCTATATGTATAGGTGGTGAATGCACATAATTATGGCCACTTGATAGTGAACAGTCATTGGGGTTGATTTACTAAAATTGGAGCACTCAGAATCTGGTGCAGCTGTGCATGGCAGCCAATCAGCTTCTAACTTCAGCTTGTTAGATTAAGCTTTGGCTATAAAACCTGTAAGCTGATAGGTTTCTATGCAAAGCTGCGCCAGATTTTGCACTCTCCAGGTTTAGTAAATATCTCACATTTTCTGCTTAGAAAATATGTATATTATAAAACAAATTTACCATTAAAGGATTGTATGCCTTAGGATAGTACATAGATATGCTTTGTCAGCAAGAAAGAAAAAAAAATGTAAGTATTTTCAAAATATTGCCACATATAATAAATCAATACGAAGGATGCTAGATAGTAAATTAATTGATGCCCTTAGGAAGCCAGTAATATACAAACAATATTTACTGAATGAATCTACAGATTGATTTAGACAGATAATACCTGTTACTGGAAATTAGAAGTAGATGAAGTTTATGATTGATTTATGTGAATTCTCAACAGCATCCATATCCAGGAAACAACTGCATAATATCCAAAGGATAAATAAAGTGAATCTCAGTGTATACAGTATTGTACAATGTAAGCTCTCCGTATCGACAGGCTTTAGCAGCCTCTTCCTACATACATTACAGTTTAAATACCGAGGGAAAATAAATCATTCCGCATTTACGCGTATATTGAATTCACAGAATCATCCATAGATTATCCTATTTTTATAGTTCACATATCCATTTTCTTGTACAGATTGTTCATTGTATAGGATCGGGACCCGTATTACATTTTTTTTTTTTATAAAGAACATGTAATTTTGTGGTATATCTCTTTTTGTTCTATTCTATATATTGTTATTTATGCTCATGAATACAAAATACACTTTATGATTGTTTCCTTCTTCTGCAATGCATAAATGACAGTCGGATGCTGCCCTTGGCTGCTATGGACAGAGCGTAGAGTTCCTGTTGGCAGACATAAGCAAGCAAGGTGTTTTCAAGCCTGCAATAATGAGTATTATGGATGCAGCTTGTATTGAATGGCTGTTTATAAAATAAAGATTTTTAAATAAATGATTAGGAACTTATGTAAATTGACAGTTTTTAAATGTATATCTTTGCAAAAAGAAAAGAAGATGAAATTAACCAAAAAACATACTTTGTTTAGACTGGTCTCACATCTGTGTTTGAATGCATGTTACCATAAAGCACAGTACCATTCCTTTTTGAATGACACCCCAATGCATCTTGCAAACACATGTATATTGCAGCACACCGCAATGCACTGATGGGAACCATCTGTTTACTGCATTTAAAAAAATCATGCTTATTTTATTTTAGGTAAGTCGTGGTGTGCTGGCAGCCTCTTCCTGTTCCGTGCTAACGGGTCACATGTTGTGGACCCGTTAGCGGATACGCTTGCTCAGTGGGGGATCTGTCTGCTAATCCCCACTGAGCAAGCGGATGACAGGTCTGTGTCTGCTCCGCTTGTGCAGAGTGGACACAGACATCGCCCGCTGTCCTCTATGGGCAGTTGGATAGAAACGGGCTATCTATCCGTTTCCATCCAGTCCGATGAACGGAAGGGGAACAGATCCCCATCCGTCTCTTTTTGGCGGATCGGATTGAATTGGATGTCGGAGGGTGTAATCGGACACGTTTACACCCACCACATCATAGAGGAGAATATAGGTTCCAATTAGGTTCGCCTGAGAAAACGGGCAGGAAAGTACGTCTGAAAGGGGCCGAATGTGCTGCCTTAATAAAATGTATATTAAAAGAAAAGTGTGGACTTATAAAAAAAAATTAATACTCACCTAGGTGGATGCAGCATCTGTCCCCCGCTGGCTCCAGTGAGAACAGAGTAATCAAACGCCGCTGATCACTCAGTTCTCCCCCTCCTCTCTGAGCAGAGAGCCATGACTGTCAGTCTCTGACTCTCTGTTCTGCCCCTTCGATGCTCACTGGAGCATCTGGCTTTGGAGGGGGCAGCAGGGGATGGCTCAGGCTCTAGGTGGATCAACAAGAAGCTCAGCCAGGTGCTGGTCCAGGATTCTGGGTTGATCCCATCTATATGGGCAAGATCTTTTCAGAGCCTGGACCAGCTTAGTGACATCAGCCATCAGCGGACTTTAGCCAGCTGTCAACTGAAATTGGGTCACAGGAGTACAGAACAAAATGCACTCCTGTGACCTACAGGAGAATTATAGCTAAAACAGCTTTGGCTATACTTCTCCTTTTAAAGTGGTTGTAAACCTCAGACATGAAACATGAACAAAGCATAGCCCTCTATAGTGTATACTTAAGTCTCAATTAAGAGCACTAAGTGTAATTTCTGTTTGCTACTTTGTTCCTCTGCTATCAGCATGCATCACTTCTGACATGTTTCCCTGACACCAAGAGAAAAAAGGTGACAGCAGATTGACAGCCTCTGCTCTGTTCCTATGTGTTGTATGTGTCTCTTCCTTTCAATCAGCTTTCAGAGCTCTCCTCACAGAGTTCTGCAGAGTGTAATCTCAGCTCTCCGCCCCATTAATTCTGAATTCTCAGACAAGCTTTATAAATTCAGCACTTTGAATGGATGTAGAGAAGAGAATCCCAAAAATAAAAAGGCACACTTTAAGAGGATTTGTTTTATCTCCTTGATTCACCTGAGGCCAGTCACTTCACTGGGAATATGTAAGGGTTAACAACCATTTTAATGCACAGAAGACACATACAAGCAAAAATACTGTTTTGTTTCCATTTTCTTTGTGCTTGATTGGGTATTTGCAAAGTGAATTTTCACCACATTCACTAAGCTAAGGGAAAACTCCCCTGCAAAGTGAACAGCCTATTAGCTTTCAGCAAACCAGCCCTCTCACTTCTGACTATTTAATTTCTACTTTAATGATATATTTGCTTGTTTTTTTTCAGGTGATGATAGAAGTATATCCAGCTCTTCCTCTGACACCAGCCATTCAGATGCCAGTGCAGGAAGCAGATTGACCATATGGGCAGAGCCTTCTTCAGCCAGTACATCTGCTGAGAGTCATGGGATGCCAGCAGCGAAGGGCATCCACCTGGGAGACGATAAGTCCTATACTGAAGCCTTTCGTGCCTCCAAGCCTCCTCCTAAGCCTGCTGCATCTAGACATTTACAGGAAATTGGCCGTCAAAGCTCTTCCGACAGTGGCATAGCTACAGGCAGTCACTCTTCCTACTCAGGGAGCTTTTCCTCCTATGCTGAGAGCCTGGACATTTGCCACGGAGAAGAGTTTGGGTCATTACTTAGCTTACCCTTAACCATGGCTACAGATCAAAATCTATGCACGTGTCAGCATGCTGATCTACAGAGAGGGTCTGAATATCAGATTCCCGCCTCTGTCAGACATCTCTACGACACACCCCGAAGTGTACTTCAGGCAGCTGCTCGAGAAACTCAACTCAAGAGTTCAGATTCCACTTTATCCAAGGACCAGGCACAAGGAACTCAAAGCATTAGTGATGCTAAGCTATTGGTACCCCATGGAGAGGCCAGAGCCTCATCTTTACTGCCGGAAAGCAAAGACTCAGGTGATGAAACCTATGTGGATTTTGTTCCAAAGTGGACAGCTTCAAAAGCACAGCCACATGGAGCTGAACCCAAAGGGAGTGACTTGGCAGCTACAGGCACAACTGACACTTGTGAAATCTGTAGCCCCCATCCTGGTGTTACAAGGGCACTTTTTGCAGCTTGCCCGGTATGCGGAGGACTAAAGGTAAACTGCTGTATATTATTATATGTTTACACACTGAAAGGAATACTGGCTGCTACTAAGCATGCATACACAATTACTGTCAAATTGCAACCCATGTAGACCTTTACTGCTAACTGCTAGTCATTTTGGGTTGATTTACTAAAACTGGAGAGTGCAAAATCTGGTGCATACCTGCATAGAAACCAGTCAGGTTCCAGTTTTTTTTTGTCAAAGCTTAATTGAACAAGCTGAAGTTAGAAGCTGATTGGCTACCATGCACAGCTGCACCAGATTTTGCACTCTCCAGTTTTAGTAAATCAACCCCAATGTGATTATTTGCTGTGCTTATTGTTGTCTCACCAGGAATTTTAGGTGTAACTGCACTTTTGTTAAAATCATAAAAACACACAACCTTCCCCATTTACAAGAATTTTGAAAGACCTTATTGTACATGCCTACCTTCAAGAATGTAAATTCCTTCCATTCCCTCCATCCTGCATGCTGGGTGAGAAGGTATGCCTGCTTTGGTCTAATGATCAGCCCCAATGTTATAACTGAAACAATTGAAAACAGGAAGTCAAAAGCATGAGCAGGACATTTCTAATGGAGTTCTGTGAACATATTGATGTATAGATCCCTCATTGTAATGTTTACAAGGAAGGAACATATGAGTTTTTAGAAGATCTGGAAAATCATAATTGGTTGGAAGTTGTACCTTTAAATTGCAACATGGCTTTAGTAGCAATTGTATATCTCAATATGGACTTGGAGTGCCACTGAAAATTGCTCTCGTGATCCACAGAAGTAAAGGGGCACAAGGTGTGCCAATGTGCTCATCAAACGCAGTGCGTGCAGTAAATAAGAGAAGACGTTGCACTCCTGACCCGCAAAGTGTAACGTCGAAGTATGGAGCAGCCTCTAAGAATAAAAGAGGGTGCACTCTCCTTGTGCATTACCGTGATAAAAAGAAATTTAATGCGATATAAACAAATGGATACTCACAAACCAATAGATCATAAAAACAGAGAGAGAGCCACAATTAACGGTCCCAGGTAGCGGGGATCCTGTAGTGGAAAATGCTAACGCGTTTCAGCAGTCAAGCTCCCTTCCTCAGAGCTCAAAGGAGCAGCCTCAGCCTACATGTCTCCATCAAGACCACTTCCCTGACTCATTTTACTCTGTGGACCTGTGGGGTGTATGACTAAGCCCTCGGTGGGTGGGGTGAAATGCATCAGGGGCGTGGTCTATGGGTGCTCCATACTTTAGCATTACACTGGATGATCAGGGGAGCGTATTCTTCCCTTATTTATAGCAATTTTATATGCTAGGTCATTTTAAACAAAAGTGTAGTACCTGTTTAAAAAATAGCAAACTGCACCTGTTCTCTGTAATATGCAGACAAGGGGTAACATTTTGGCAAGATTTTAGATGTATTAAAACATAGCAAGCAATGAAGTGGAAGATTGGTGGAAATTGTGGAGGTACATGGAAAGGGTGGGTGGTCACAGCTCAATGGCTAAGGGGGTACATGAATAGTCTGGAATGGGCAAAGAACCATGTTCAACTGCTTCAGTTGTCTCCTAAGGACTTATAAAAGAAGGCCACAACATTGGTAAGAGAACACAGCTCGATAAGCATGGAAGGGTACATTTAAAGACTGCAGAACCTTTGCTACCTGAAACTTGCAAATTCTCAGTGGTCTGGCTGCTTTTAGTAATGATAGAAAAATCTATTATGAAAAATGTACTTAGTCCTAGTAACAGTAATTGAAAATATTACCCCATATAGTGTATAACTTGGTTATGCCTGTTGTTCTCAAGTTTGAGGATTCATTTTTATGTATTGGATGACGCTCTTGATTTGAAATTATCTCTAAGCTCTGGACCTCTGGGCTTCTCCAAAGTCATAAATGTAATTGAACACTAAAGACCAAACCTTACCATTCTTGCTTATAAGCTACAAACCATATACATATCCATTATGTTTGAATAGTATGTGTGTTCTCTAATAGGCCCTGCCATACTCATTACCTGGATGAGACATCTCTGGAGAGGATTGAGTCGAATTGTGTTGTTCTGATGTCTTTAGGCTATAAGACCCAACTTCAATATATAGATAGACTACCCCTTTTTCCTCTTTAGAGAATAAATGGTGCCCCACATACATATCAAAGTTCACATTAATGTGTTACTCAAATTAGGCCCTGGAATACTTGTCTTCATTACACCATGAAGAAGTAATTTGTGCACCTTGTGGGCTCGCTTTCAATAATTTAATGACACCAATTTGCACATTTAAAGCAAGCTGAGATAACAATCTCTCTGGATCTCATGCAGTTTTCATCATAAATTCTATTGAAGCACTGTGTGACACTCCTGTGCAAAGTGGTAATAACTGTACGACTGCATTATGCATAATGTCAGAAAAAAGCTGGAAAACGGGAGGCTGTCAGCGGAAGTGATGGAAGGGTCAATTCCATTATGTGTAAGGACTCCTTTTTTAGTTTTGAATAGAATGAGGAAGGGTTACAACATCTGTTGGTTAGAATTTCCTTTACTTTCTATTCCCATTACCACACGAGAACACACAGATGGAAAAAAGAAACCTGCCAATAATGTCCTCTACCAAAAACATGTTGTCCCCCCCTCAATGCATTGATTCCTCTCACTTCTTGTTGGTGACCAAGTGAGATTCTAACTCTGCCTTGTTCTACCAAAACACATGGTTTGAGTTAAGACTTAAATAATAATTAAAGACAAATGGGACATGGAAAATGTGTTTAAGACTACAGAGTAATTATGTTTATTTTGATGGACTAGTTTGATATTTATCAAAGGTTAGTACTAGTATTTGTGTGTACATCCAGTATGTACACAGTTTTATGTAAAATTGAGATATTTATTTCAGGTACTTATATAGCGCCATCAATTTACGCAGCGCTTTACATATATATTGTACATTCACATCAGTCCCTAACCCTCAAGGAGCGTACAGTCTAAGGGCCCTAACTCACATTCATACATACACACACACTAGGGCCTATTTAGACCAGATCCAATTAACCTACCAACCATGTCTTTGGAGTGTGGGAAGAAACCAGAGGAAACCCACGCAGGCACAGGGAGAACATGCAAACTCCAGGCAGGTGGTGCCGTGGTTGGGATTCGACCCAACAACCCTAGTACTGCCAGGCGGAAGTGCTAACCATTTGGCCACTGTGCTGCCTTATATATTGTCATATATTTTAGTTCCCCCTCTTATGCCGATCATGAAGAATTAATATTAATTAATATTAAAATTGCATAATGTATGTGCTGCTTAAGTTTGAGAATCACTGGGTTTTACTGATTGTGGTTTGAACAAATTCCAGTAAGCACAGAAGGATGTGACCCTGCATTCTACTCACCAGATTCAAGTCAGCTGAATTACTCTGGTTATAAACATCTTCAACATTTTGTACACAGCAGAGGACAATAGAAAAGTCAGTGATAAATAATTACAGATCATCTTGTTGTCAGCCGCACAATACAAATTAATCCATGTGTGAAATTCCTTTTTTAAGAATTTAGATGAATATGAACAAAGTGACTTAATTAATAATTAAAGATGTTTAATTACTCAATCATTCTCCCCCTAATACTGCCTGTAATTTGATGATGCATCTTCTATCTCAATAGCATAACTTATTGTATTTTATAGGAACTGTTTTAAATAGTGAGTACTGATAATTTTAAAGTGTTACTAAACCCAGGAGCCTGCATTCACTATATCTGCTCTCTCACAGTACACAGAGCATGGAAGCACAATTATTTTAGTAAGTATGAACTGCTAAATACCTTTTCTCATCAACAGTTAGAGCAGTCTTGTGACTTCTATCAGTGTCCAGCAGAGCACTGGTTAAAGCTTGTAGGAAGAGTTTTCATTATCCTCCAGGAGGATGCAGGACCCCTGACCCTCTGTCTGGACAGTTCTGATTGACCCTGTGCTGATCACATGCACTCCCCCAAGAAAAAAAAAAACTCTCTAGCAATACACATGAAACTAAGCATGTGCAGAGTATATCCAAATCTGTGTTCTATCAGGAGATATTTAGGGGACAATGGAAGAAAGAGAAGATCAGAAAAAAGGGGATCAAGCAACCTTATTACACAATGCAGAGGATTAACCTCATAAGTTCCACATTGAGTATAACAAGCATGCTTTACTGCATACAGACTGATTTTACTGTTGTGGGTTTAGTAACACTTTAAAAAGACACTGTCACTTAAAGAAAGAGCTGCTTAAAAGAATAAAATGCAGTTACCTGTAAATGCCAACATAGAGGATGATTTACTAAAGGCAAATAGACTGTGCACTTTGCAAGCACAGTTGCACTCTACAAAGTGCAGTTGCTCCAGAGCTTAGTATATGGGGAAACCTCTGCTGACTTCCATCATCCAATCATATGCAGATGAAAATTTTTTTTCCCTTGCATGTGATTGGGTATCCTTTGCAAAGTGAAGCTTTGCCTCATTTCCTGAGCTCTGGAGCAACTGCACTTTGAAGAGTGCAACTGCACTTGCAAAGTACATAGTCTATTTGCCTTTAGTAAATCAACCCCAATGAATCATCACTTCTACTCCTAAATGGGCAGCACATTTACAATGAATTTGCATTTTTTTTTTTTAGGGTGCTACAGCCCTGCATCCGGGAGCCACATCTCCTCTGCAAGGTAAGCTAATAATGTGAGCCAGCCTGGACTGAATGGTTTCATTTTGGCAGATTAATTTACAATAAAGTTGAATTCCAGGCAAATTACCAAATACATAGCTGAAATACAAGTGCATAAACTGCTTACTTGCTAAAAGATTTTTTAACTAGCAACTCCAATTAGACTGCACAGCATTGTGACCCGTGCTAGTCTCTATCTGCACATTTTAAGTGCAGTGCTTGCTGCATCTTTGATAAATTTTCATCAAAATAAGTAATATAGAGTTCAAAAGTAATGCATGTAAATGGACCTTAATCTCAACACACCTTAAAGGGCTGCACAAGTGTGAACCGGGTCTGAAGCAATCTATCCTGTTTACCCAACTCCCTTCGGCCAATGAATAGCTGACATCACTCTGCAAAGCAGTGGA